GTGGGACATACACAAAGTGGGCGGAGTTATCCACGAAATAATCGATTCCAAGGAGTCTCGGAGACCGGGAAAATGTGGAGAGACTTTGAACGGAAGGGGAGTCATATAGTCTCGGTGGTGAAGAGCATGGCGAGGTGGACGAAGTCTGCCAGAAAACGTTGCAAAATTATCGATGTCCCTGTTTAATACCACTTCCACTCGCGTGATGCTCGCGATGCGTGCGCCGCCAAACTGATGAAAATAGAAAATAATTCCATTGTCCTTATTCTTAGTCTATTCAGCCATTCATTGTCATTTGTGGGTTATTTGAAAAGACGGCACTGGCTGAACTAGTCTTCCCATTTGAAGCTGAGAGATGTTTCCTAACACATTAACGACAGCGTGATGCGGTAACGCGTCCGACTTTGATCCCACATTGCATATTGTGACGCGTCATCGCGCTCACCCAAGTCTTCCCTTTGTCTCGCGCATGCGCGAATTGTTTTCAAATTGTTAATATTCAATCCATGGACCACACCATTACATAGCTGTCAACGACATGGTTCGACTTGTGATCAGATTTACTTTAGTTTGGAAGCGGTTTTACAAGCGCTACGAATTCGGAAGTTTGTTTCATTTCTTATTCTCTACTTATTTTCATGACAGTAAAAGTAGAGGGGTATGAGTAAATACAAACCCATGCTCATAGATAAATGGATATTTTTTTCAGCATAACCACGTCGAAAGTACATTTAACGTCCTTACAGAGAAAAAAAGTAAAAATTGCTTCTTCATGACCATTACACTTTATTTTGATCGGAATTCAGTCGATATACCCATAGATTACACGCATTCCATATTACTGGTTTCATGTCATTCATGCTTTGCATACTGATCCCTCAAAATTTACGGATATAAGGCGAGGCGGCTGCGCTCGCAAAATCGCTCCTGTCCCACGTGGCCAAAAAAGCCGAAACGCGCACTGTCGTCCACCATGTTAAATCAGAGCAGCACTCGTTCACAGGCAGCAAACGTGACACCACAAATGATGCTGGTTTGAATGAGGTTCATTTTCTGCATTTTTGAAACTGCACCGTCTGTATATCTTTTTGTCCTTATAATCACAAGTGCTGCAGAAGCGTTTGCAATCAGCAAGTTTTGTGGTGAAGGTATTCAAAATTCCCAGGCATGACGAGGAATTGGGAAATTGTAGAAAGTCGATGAATTGAGGAAGTGCAAAAGTATGTACTGTTTGTAGAGGGACCAGAAGGCGAGGTGGTCTGCTCAGTGTCTAGTTTTATAGCAGATATCCATCCGTTTTCAGTATTCGAAAGCTGTTGCGCACATTGAGGGAAGAGAATCGGAAACGCTCATCATATCTGCTTTACTTACAGCAGTCGAGAATAACACTTTTACGTCTAACGAATTACGTTGAAAAACTATCTCTAAGAATCCAGAGGTGAGCCTGCTTTTTATTTTGACAGTTTCGAGAACTAGTCGTTCATTGAAATAAGAAAAATATTGAAAGCACACAGTTATGCATTCGACTGACGTGAACTTTCTATCAAAAAGTATAATACAACTAGAGATTCTGTGTGTATGTAGCAAATCATTTTGAGAACTGGAGCCACAAGTCATTCCAGGGAGAAGTCAGTGGTTGAAGAGTGCCTCGTGGAAGTTCTGGTTGTTCGGTTTTATCTTGAAAATAAAGATCAACAAATGAAACGCTTCTTACAGGAATTTGTGATCCTTAATGCTCAGGTTCGTTGACTTCTAAATTTGCTTAGTGTATGTTTTGCGGTGTATTGAATAGATCAGGACCAGATGTGAATACAATACAGTGCGCGTCAATTGTTTATGCCACCCTGATTTTTTTCGGTTTCCTGACTTGCTTGGAAATTTCGTAAATCGGCACAGCAACCATCGTTTCCGGCGTGTCAGAAATTTCTGAATGATGTGTTCGATTTTGGCTAACGCGAGAGTTTGACTTCTCCGTTCTTTCGGAGAAAATGAACCGCGTCAATTGCTGTGCCACCCTAAAGTTTCTTCGGAAATTCTCATTTCTTCTGCGATATTCTGCTACATTGCGCATGTAATATAGATGAGGAAGTCCTCCACTTACATGGTGCACATGAATGGCTAGCCATCCACAAATAGGTACTTCACAATATTAGCCCTTAAAGTGGACGGTAGCAGCATAAAAGGCCCCATCAGATAAATATATGTGTTCTCTCTTCTGCTCTTGTGCGATCGCTCCTACTGCTCGTAGTAGTACTCATTGAGTAGTGTATTTGGGCAAGATTGGAGGATTCGATGTGCTCAAGTGACCTCCAAATTCACTTTTTTTTTGACGCCGTGGTCAACTTTATTTTGTGGTGCTCTGGAGTGCTCCGCGAACTCGAAAGCGTTCACAGTCAGAAGTTGTTACAGAGAGTCAAATGGCTCTACTTACCACCCGCTGGTACCTTAAAGAACGATCTGCAATGGCGGCCATGCCACCAGCCCCCTCCAGCTCCCTTCAAATTATAGCTGGCCCATGTCATCATTTTCGCTCACTTGGTACGAAAATTTTTCCAGAGAGAATCCGATCAGGTCTGGCGATGAGTACCAGGCGGACTAAGTTAACACTGTTCTTATACTCTTTGACATAGGCTTTGTGAGCGTGAATGCTTCGAGTTTCACGAAAGCCGAGACCACAAATAATGTTGACCACGGATCTAACGCGTCAAAATGTGAATGTAAAGGTCACATGAGCACGTTTGTGCATTATATAAGTGGAGGACTTCCTCTGTTATATCACATGCACAATGCAGCCAAATAGCATTAAAGAAATGAGAAATTGCGAAGAAACTTTAAGGATGGCATAAGCAAATTGACGCGGCCCATTTTCTTCAAAAGAACGTGAGCAAGTCAAATTTCGCGTTAACCAAAATCGAACAACATCATTCATAGTATTCCGATACGCCGGAAACTGTGGTTGCTGTGCCGATTTACGAAATTTCCAGGCAAGTCAGAAAACCGGAAAAACCAGGGGTGGCATAAGCAATTGACGCGCACTGTATACTATCACTATCAGCCCTTTGGCGAAGATGTCACCTAATATTGAGTGACGCCCAATATTGGTTGATTTTACTATACTGGTTACTTACCCAATACTGATTTTTGCGTAGGACAATGTCAGGGAGGAAATTATCGGGAAAAAACGGTGGCCGCATGTGTCGAAATTTTGTTCAGGACGAGAAAACGGATTGCTTATTACGGACTTTGTCGGGTATGTATACCCGTTTGCCTGTATCGTCCATGTGGCAGTTGGCTCCTGCTCACCTCATTGCTTATGCTCGAAAAACTATCGAACGAGTGTTTATGGCTCAAATTCATGCTCTAGCATTTTAATCACACAACGTGGATGCTGATCGACATCGTGGTGAATGAGTGAAAGTGTTTCTCCTCCTTCTGAATGTACACGGGCTTACTCTGAACAAAAAGCTCAAGATCTGACAAAGAATGTGGTGTGCTTTTCGACAATCTTGACTTTATTGAAAGTGGGAGGCGCATTTTTAAGCCGAGAACGATAACCAAGGAAGGATCTTCAATGATTTGGCTGAGTTTGTAACGTGCTACAAAGTCCTCTGTTTCACTTTTGAAATGATTTTTTATTCGTGCGGCTCCTGAAAATTGTGTGCTCTCTCACCGTTGCTAAAAGTTATACACTGCGTTCAATAATGATACAGCCACCTAAAATTTGTTCGAAAACATTAAAGTTCATAGAGTTTCTGAAAAACTGTCCAGATAGAAAATGTGACAAATTTCATGGCGAGTTCAGATATCAACACAAAAATCCATGTAAAAACTAAAAAATTTTGTGCTTATTTTTTCAGAAGAGGTCGATTTTCCTATGTTCAAAAATGATACAGCCACCATTGTTCATTCGAAGGAGTTTCATAAGGCTAAAATTCATTTTTGCCTTATGAAACTGCTTCGCAGTTGCTGTTGAAGCTTTCACCTTAATGTTCTCCACAAGATGAAAAAGACAGTTCAGTTTTGAAAAAAGGTAAACTGTAGCAAAAAAGGACCAGGAATCGTCAAGCAGTCATATTGCGCAAAATTGAGTCAAAATACGGTTAACAATCTTTTCTGGAATCCTGTAGGTTATGGAACAAAGAAGAGCTCTGGATGTTCATCATTGCTTTTTGGTCAATTTAAACTTCGCATTTTGGGAAACATTTCAATTTCATCGAACAGTGCCCGGAATTCCAGTCTTCTTTCAGAATTAAACTTTCAATGGATATTGTTTGGGATGTGTTGAAGATTTCCGAGGTCATTCTTCAATGGAGAATTAAAGAAACCTTGTTTGTGAAAAGAAATTCTCTCGAAAACTGAGACATTTTTTGCTCGAAAGTGTAGCCACGTCCACTGGAGCAAGATCAGTTCTTTTGTCTGTTGTGTCTTACTTTCTGTTTACTTTCTTTCGAGTTTTTCCTTCCTCATTAAGGGTTTTTCCTTTCATTAGACTCCTATGAAGCGAAAAACATTGAGAGAAACGCAGACAGAAAGTAAGGCATAACAGACAAAAGAACTGATCTTGCTCCAGTGGACGTGGCTACACTTTCGAGCAAAAAATGTCTCAGTTTTCGAGAGAATTTCTTTTCACAAACAAGGTTTCTTTAATTCTCCATTGAAGAATGACCTCGGAAAATCTTCAACACATCCCAAACAATATCCATTGAAAGTTTAATTCTGAAAGAAGACTGGAATTCCGGGCACTGTTCGATGAAATTGAAATGTTTCCCCAAAATGCGAAGTTCAAATTGACCAAAAAGCAATGATGAACCACCAGAGCTATTCTTTGTTCCATAACCTACGGGATTATAGGCAAGATTATAAGGAGACAAGACATAAGGAGTCAGTATGGTATTCTTCAGTTCTAACTGATCAGCGCTCTGTGTGGCAGCGGACTTTTCCGCTCGAAGGGTGGAACCGACGGTGAGTTTATTTCTTGCGCTGTCCTGATCTTCTCGAGGGGTTTCTGACACGATGTCGAAACCGCTAGAGTTGATGAGGCGCTTGGTGGTGTAGAGCGTAAGTCTAACGCTTGAAACACGTTCAGGCCTCTGAAGACGACGATTCAGTCGAAACGTTAGGCCATTAATAAAAGTTCCACCGAACAACCTCGTAAGGCACAAGAAAATTTGTTAAACTTACAACTGACATGCCGAGGTTACAAGAAGAGAGAAGTTGGAGAATAGGCAAGATTGTTAACCGTATTGGAGCTTTGACTCAATTCTCGCGCAATATGACTGCTTGACGATTCCTGGTCCTTTTTTGCTACAGTTTACCTTTTTCAAAACCAAACTGTCTTTTTTTTATCTTGTGGGAACATTAAGGTGAAAGCCTGATAACTGCGAATCAGTTTCATGAAGCAAAAATGAATTTCAACGAAGAAACACGGGGTGGCTGTATCATTTTTGAACATAGGAAATCGACCTCTTCTGAAAAAATAAGCACAAAATTTTTTAGTGTTTTCGACATGGATTTTGTGTTGATATCTGAACTCGCCATGAAATTTGTCACATTTTCTATCTGGACAGTTTTTCAGAAACTCTATGAACTTTAAGTTTTCGAACAAATTTTAGGTGGCTGTATCATTATTGAACGCAGTGTACATGAATGAATTTTTGATGAATTTTCCACAGCCGTTGTGGATGCCACAGAAAACGTTGGAATTTCATTTCGGCGTATCTCACCCTGGTCACTGTCCATAGAAGAAAATTCGTGGCTATCTCATAAGGAGAGCATTTGTGCAACCCATTCGTTTCGCGGCAAACATTTTTTTTATGTGAAGTTCAAAAAAGTGTTTCCGTTCTTCTAAATTGGGTTTCGTCTCGCGACTGAAATAAGAGCAAGATCAATGTGAGCCTGTAATGATAGGAACAGTACAAAGAAGCAATTGTAAGGTAGAGTGGTGTGGATTTCTTTTATTACCACCACGTTTCAGGACTGAGCCTTGGGGAGGGCTCTGCTTGCGTAAGCAGTTCTCATTTTTTCCAGATTTCTCACCCTTCCAGGTTTAGTCCCAGGGTCTTTACTATCGCGTCGCCTTGTGGCCTCTTCAACAGCGGTTGAACATTTTTTGAGTGAGGAGAATGTGTGTTTTGGAGGGGAAAGAGCACGGGGTGGGTGAGCAATTCCTCGAGCTAGGAACGAAAGATTGGTTCACGCACTGGAGCTTTTTTACTTCCCCAAAAATGCCAATCCTTCGGCTATTAATTGCTTTTCCGAATTGTCGAGAAAAAAAAATCGATGAAGTGGCTTAGGAATGATACCGCAATCAGCGTAACTTTCAAAGATTTTTTTGGGCAAAATGCACACGCTACTGCGCGTTGACCGGTCTACACCGCAATGCTCCCCCGTCTTGCAATGGCGCCGAATAACCTCTTTTAAGTATTTTTAGTTCCAAGTTTTACGACTACTTTTGATTTGGCTGCCTAGTACAAGAAGCTAATGCCTTTAGCTGAATCTGCTTGACTTCGTTTTTTATTTTTTTTACTTATTTCTTATTGTTTCATGGAGGATTCAGTCAGGTTTTTTTCAGGTTGTTCTCAAAATCTCTTTCGCGTCTGTCTAGATCAATTCATCCAGGTCATCCAATGCTGAGAATCCCTAGTGTGAGTGTTGTGACTATGAGTTTGCTTCGTATGAATCACTCAAGATATCACAGGTTCTTCATGGTGAAGCGCCTTGGCCGTCGGCTCAAGCAGAGATTAATATAATTAACGCTTACAAGTCTGCAAGAGATAAACTGGCATGTGTTGTGAGGTGAATATAACAGACATCCTGTTGCTTCTGGGTAGTAGTGTACCTTTCCAAGTCTTCAACAAACTGTAAGATTCAGGTGTTGCGAAACCATAAGCAATCTCATATCAATGGCACCTGGTATGGGAGCAGCGGCGGCGGATGACGTCACACCGGTACTTGTCTACGTACTTATTCAGGTATGGGATTTTCCATTATTTCCTTTTACTATAGGTGTTAAAATGGAGTATTTTGGTGATTTATTCCAGGCGAATCCACCATCTCTGCTTTCGAACGTGCAGTACGTGCAGGGATTCGGCGGGTCACTTCTCGATGGAGCAGAGGGATATTGGTGGACGCAGTTCACAGCTGCTATTGAATTCGTCAAAACTCTTTTGTGATGTCTAAAAAGAATAATTTCATGTGACCTTTCTGTGAGCATGTTTGTGAACATTCGTTGAGAGTGTTCAGATAGCGATGTGAAGCCAGTTACATACTTCTCAGAGTGACCAATGTTTTTTATTGCGGAAAATATATTATATTCACAAAGTTTTGTATAAATCTTATATCAATGGTTTATACTCGAAAACAAAAAAAAAAACGGTGTGAAATCGCGACTACTGGCAGAAACACCGAATGAATGGTCCAATTTGAATTACGAGTTGACAGCCTTTCATCGTTACGTTCCTCGCAATGGCGTAAGAAAACAGAATTAGGAATCTTATTTAAAATAAAAGGGCTAGCTGGTGATGACTTTCTGTTCTTCAAAACAGAACCATGATAAACTAAGCGTCTCCGGAGATTGAAGCACTTCGTCACTCTAGATGGTCTAGAAAGCGTCCTAACAACCCTACGTTGGTACAAGTACCAACGGGGGGGGGGTCGTAGTTTGTTGAAGTTTGTGGTGGGGGGTCGTACTTGTTTCGGTAGCACGAAATTACATGTGATGAGGTGAGAGCGCGCGGGAGAAAATTTGCCGTTTCAGCGTGCGTATATACCCCCCTAGAAAATGTTGTAGTGGAAATATAGGGAAAACAGGTAAAATAGAGGAAAATGAGGGAAAAGTGAAGGGAAATAGAGGAAATTTTTGCGGTTTCATGGTAGTTATATACCCCCCCCGCTCGACGGTGTTTTTTGAGGGAAAAAGAAGTTGTGAAGAAGGGGTCGTATGAAATCTGTCGTGAAGGAGGGGGGTCGTAAAAATTTTGCAAAAAGTCTCAACGATAGGACCGACCCTGCTTGGGTGGAAGGCGTTACGCGTTATAATGTCCCGCGAGGTGCGCAAAGTGGGACGCGTTACCGCGTCACGCTGTCGTCAACGTGTTAACACGACAGCGTATGAAACCCAGTGCGGTACATGCGCTTTGCATCATAACAGTTTATTTTGTTCGCGTACGCGCCACTTTTCTAGTTTTTTTTGCACTTACTCTTTAGATCACATCACAACGTGACCATAAACGGTATGACGGTGTGGTTGACCAAATGGTTTAATACTCTTTACTTTTGCGAAAATTCTCCAACTCCCAATGTCTTCAATGCGGCTCATTTCTCGTTTTCTTCATATTCATTTGAAAATAAATGTGAAAGAAAGAGTACTGGAAGTAAGTACAGACCTACACATATAGCAAGATATATGTTTTTAGTGGAGCAACCGCGTCAAAAATAATTTTGAGGTTCACTACAGCAAAAGCAACTAAAACTTGCCTTTTCATTGCCCTCATTTCGATCGATCTTTTCACAGTTGTGCCTTCTGATAAGTTTGACACATCGAATATCATTGAAACATTTTGTTGCATCAAGTTTTGGGTATTTAAAGCTCAAAATTCACGGATTTGATGTGAGGCGGCGCCTGCAAAATCGCTCCGGTCCCATGCGTCGAAAAATTCCACAATCCGCGCTGGGTCAACGCGTTCATAAACTGTCTCAGCGGTTATTTGAAAGGCAATGTTGAGCTACTCTTGCGGTGTCATATTCGTACAGTTATGCTATTTCAGAGATACACGCAACAGTTTCCCTTGGAAAAAAAATGCATTTTCACGAAGCTTTGACTTGAGCTTCGTCGGAATATATAACGGGTAGTATAGAGACTCGGCCGTAATCTGCAACGATTTCTTTTTTTTTCGGCACAAGGGTAAAACTAATTGTCGAATGTGGCCATTTGACATGTGTGGCTCAGCGGTGACACCAATCATAACGCGTAACGCACCTATTAAGATGCCATTTCACCTGCTCGATACACATACGACTACACGTAGCAAAAGACATTCTCATCGCGCTTATCTCTGTCTCCTTTATGCTGCTGAAGTTCCCCGGATGACAGGTCAGTGCTAATCTCACTCAGACTTCATCTCATTTCAACCACTCATTCAGTTGGGTGAAGTGGCGTATAACGTTAGATGGAATAGCCAGAACTCACATCTTCTATAAGGGCAGGGCTAGTCGCTTTCAATGTGATATTGCTGCCAATACGGAAAGATTTTTGGAAGCTCTGTGTTGCGAAATACTCCAGTGCCAGCTGTCAAGAAATTGCCCTACTTTTTTGCCATGCACTTTTGCCCTTTAGGGGCTCAGATTCCCGAAGGACACGTTCATTTGATTCATTTCATTTCCACTCGCGGTGTTGCTTGGTACTCATATTTCGTAGTATTGTACGCAAGTTGATGACCAGATGACCAACAAGTGCAACTCATTTGTGCTGCGCCGCAAATTCGACTCTCTTCCTGTAACCTTGCGAAATTCGGAATTAGCAACTTTAACGTGACTTAAAAAAAGTACTTGGTTGTATTCTTTTTGCAACCCTTAGATAATTATGATTTGCTTGAGACACACTTGGCCCTGACAACAGGAGGAATTACCTTTGTACAGGACGTTTACAGTCAAGTGCTGCCGTTATCATTAAGCGTCCCTTTGACCATTGTGTTGAAATGTTACGCTTCATCTAAAAGTTATGAAAATTTAATTCTAGCAACTGTACTCTGAAGAACTGGCACTTTCGTTTACACCGCTCCTGAAGACCTCTCCGTTGTGCGCAAGGACTTTAGGCCAAGATGAACCATCCATTTTCGCAAGCCATAACTTGCTTCTTTTCATCATCTCCGGCGGGTTAATACGTCAGACAAAACTAGAAGATTTTCTCTATCAAACGGTTGCTAAAGCAGCTTCATACGTCCAGTATTCAAAAAATGGCCACGTTGAGGATTTTTGCAAAATTAACGAGGAAAATTCGTGATGAGTGCGAGTTTTTACGCTTTCCAAAGCCATAACTCCGTTCAAACTCATCCAATCTGAAAAGTTAATACGTCATCATAAACTAGAAGATTTGCTCTATCAAATGGTTACTAAACTGCTAATACGTCCACTATTTAAAAAATGGCCACGTTGAGGATTTTTGCCCGAGTACCGCCGAAAGGTACTTTTTCGCTGCATTGGCACTATTTCAACGACTATAGCTCCTTTCAGGGGCGATTACATACTAAAGTAGGAGCAGATTCGAAATCCTCGTGCTTTTCTCTTTCAAAAAGTGTAAAATTGTTTAGCGTTCTCAACTTTAAAGGTTACATGCTTGTGAATTTGACGCTGAAGGCTGCGTTTCTTGTTGAATAGTGTACTCCTCCCTGTAATTTCACCCTTTCAGAATCCTCTTGATTTTTCCTGAATTGAGATTCTTTCTCCAGAGAGCCGTAGTTGAAGCGCGCGCAACCAACTGGGCCCACTCTGGGATGCGCCGTGTGCTTCACATCCCTTCGGATTTGAGGACTCACTTGAAAGATAAAATATCCCTTGGAAAACGTGCGAATTTCGGATTCTTTAACTTGTGTGGTGATAAAACACTGAAGTAACTAAGAATTGCTAAGCGGACACCTCTAAATCACGAAGATTTTGTGTGGGCGGAATCAATTGTTATTGGAAATACTCTGGCCTGGCATCGACTCGATCCTTGATGTTTGTCCTCCGACGATGATCCTACTGCATCAATCGGCCCGATCTCTTCCCCAGCGGGCCAATACGACCCCCCCCCCTGTGACATGTCGAGGATTCCTCAACGCACGCTTGACCCTGGTTCGGATTTGCGTGCTTTATGGAGCAAACCTGGCGCCTTTCCACTACCGCTTCCTGTCAGCATAGCATTTGAGCGAGAATACGTTGAAAAAATCCACGACGTCGAGATCTTGATGTCCAACTTATCCTATGGCTCACGGAGCAAACCTTTATCTTTCTCGTAATAGATGAAAATTATTGGAAACTTTTGGTGGACTTTCTTCGATGTTGGGAAATATGTTTTGCGTTGATGTATGAGACTTTATCAATGTTTTGTGATGAAACTGTTGCCTGTTACAAATTTTCCCATTTTTTTCCATTTCCAATCGACCAACCTACGAGAAACCTACCACCTTCGAAGTTGGGAAATACGCTCCACGAATTCTTTACAATCATGAATGCCTGTGTGTTTGCCTGACCCAGGTAATCAGTGCCTACTGCTAGCGAGGTTTGGCCCAGAAATGCTGAATAATTGGCGACATAGAGTCAATGCTCACATGCTGCTTTCCTTCTTCCCTTTACTTTAGGAATGAGTTGGCTTGCGGCAATAGCCATGCCTGGGTCTCGCCACATGCCACTCCCCAGAAATGATGCTGCTTATGGACAGAGAACCCGCCAGTTCCGACTCATCTAGAGTTCCATCCGAAAATAATCGCGAATCTCTTGGACATTGACATCAGCACGTCTACCAGAACCTCTGCCGGAAGGAAAACCGGTGATCAATCATGAGACGGAGCGTACCAAAGGAACAATAACAAAGTTATACGAAAATGACCTACACATCAAAGTACTAGGTTGTCGAAAAAGTTTTTGGCCATTTGTCGGTTTTTTTTCAAATTCGCTTTTCTTCTTAGCACAGTCAGCAATTTACAAATATATATGCCCCACCGTAATCGTCAATATATTGCCTTTAGCAGGTAACTTGTGGATGCCGTTTATCGGGAAATCCTGAGCTTTCGAGGCAAAAGTTCGAAGAGGTCCTTCTCGAGTAGGCCTGGATCATCAATCTCTCTCTCCCTCTCTCTCTTAGTTTCGACAGCAACAGAGGCAGATTGCAGTCTGGTGGTGCCGGGTTGCTGAAAGCAGCAATAAGAGAGAGCATTCCATAAGAGGTTTGGAGACTTTCGGTGGACCCTCTTCGAAATTAGTTGACGAGATAACGTAAATTTTGGATTTTTTTCCAGCGTAGTGTCGACGAACCCATCATTTGCCCACATTATCGTTCGGCAATGACCGTGCAGTTGGTCGTTAGGAGCGTGAGGGAATCGGCGTTGGAATCCTTGGTTCCACGCGTCTGAGCCAGTGGCGCTTCCGGGTGTTTATGTAGGCGGCTCACTTCTTGTTACTACCGTGTGTGTTTTTA